GCTTGATTACTCGACTCGAACGAGCTGCTGAGAGACACCGCTGGATAATTAACGGGCAACGAGTGCGGGGCCATGTTTACCTGACAATCGGTTAATCAAGGTGGGCTTTGTGTCCGATTACGACCGCCGGTATTACGTGTCCTTACGCAAAGTACAGTACGATCACGGTTTGTAATCGATCGAACATGTCTCCGGACTTACATAACGATTATCTCCTCGTTTACGAATCCACGAATGGTGCATCGAAACCGCGATTAACGACGCGTAATTTCGCCTGAATTTCTGCCCCGGTGTGAACGTTGACGAAAATGCATCCAGCCGGATGCAGTCGAGTACCTTACTCTCTGGAGCCGTGACCTTTCCAACCCGAGTCCAGCGGACGCAGGTCGTGTTCCTCGAGGAACCGGTCCCCATCCCGAACACGCGTTTTCCCCGCGGATAGTAATTTTTCCTAACGATCGACGCTTCGTTGAGCACGCGCCGACGCGCTTTTCCTTTTTTCCACGCCCACGCGTTTTCGTTGTTCCACTCGAACCTCCGCGTCGCTGTTCGCAGACGCGTGACCGAGAGGTCCTGGTACAAACGCGATTACCGGAGTAACGAATTTCGTATAGAGGAGTAGAGCCCGAAAATTCTCAGTCCACGCGACTTTTCCGCGATGGACTCGTTTTTCTCGCCCCTCGGATAACTTCTGAAGCCTGATCGATGGGTTTCCGTAATCACCCACGTCTTGCCCGATCCCTCCATCATCGGGACCCGTCGATGTTCCTCAGGCTGGGAACAAGTAACGAAAGCTTTCTACTCGGCGTGGAAAAAGTGACAGGGGGCCAGACGTGGAGCAACTGGTAGAAGGCGTTGGAAGATTTTGCAAGTAGGTTAAATCTGTGCAAGTGGTCAGGAATTCCTGTACTACTTGTTGACTGCAGCACTTGGTCAGACAAGCCTATCTTCTTCAAGAGGATGTAACCCTTGGTACTCGAAAACTTCTTGGATACGCTTTAAGAACTTTTTAATATTTCTACAGTCGTACCATTTTTGCGAGTAAAAGAGGTAAAACACAGGCGGGTAATTGGTTGTTCTTCCGACGATGGAAGCAATTTCACAGTACGAATCTCGCGATAATGAGTCTACGAAATGAAGAGCTGATGATTTTTCTATCCTTTGCAGGGGCCTTAAATTCGAATCCTTCGATTTTTGCGCACAAAAGGGCGCGAGAGGAAAACAGGGAGACAAGCGACAATTAAATCGGTGAAACCGCGACCGTCGATTTCCGCGGGCGACATGAATTGCCATGAATTGCAATGGATTGCCGTGGATTGCCATGGCTCTCTGAGGCACGCGAGAGAATACGCGTGACTCGATAGTTTCGCATCCGCAATTGGAAAAACGCGCTGTTTTTCTCCTTATTTTTCACATTTCTCGCGAACCTCGCCGCGAGTACACGCGTAGGAAATTGAATTATCGCTACGACATACCTGTGTAACTCATGAAAGCTTTCTCTATTTTAAATTTCTTGTCTTCCTCGTTTGCCTATGCGCTTATCCGCCGGAGGGTTCCGCGAGATTACCATCCTCCAATTAGTTCCATTTTATCGGGAACTCGTTTCGATTCTACGCGAAAGTCTCTCTCTGTTCCGCGAGATTACCATCCTCCAATTAGTTCCATTTTATCGGGAACTCGTTTCGATTCTACGCAAAAGTCTCTCTCGCGCTTCGACTCGGGATGAAAAATAGCTTGCCTGTCTGCGAAAAGGTGACTTTCAAGCAGAGAAATGTGCCGTAGAAACGTGTAGATGAATTGTGAGAATTTTTCAAAAATGCGACACTTGATTCTCCAATCGGACATAGCGATCGCTCTCCCCCAGAGTTCATCTTCCGAAATAAAAATACATCTTCCGGCATAACGATCATAGTCCAACAGACGTGTCATCCTTTCTCGGTAAAAATCTCGATTGTCGTGAAAATTTTCGAAATATGCAGCAAAATATCGATCTCTTTACCTTAGATCGTGGAATAAGAAATGCAATATCCGACGCAACAATGGCCGTCGCGTGTGAATACCTCGTATCGAACCATGAACGTACAATTCGCATAACGAAGCTGTCGATGATGTTTTAACATGTTAGAGAATTCTAATAATTGATTCGCGTATATGGTGAGACGAGAAAGGTCGAAAATCGTTGCTAAAGTCTAGGAAATTCTATAGCAGCTACGATATATAAGAGCAACCCATATCATAGGATATGTACGATCTTTCAGATATTGCAATCGAAACGAACTCGTCTTCCAGTCGACGAGATTTTTGTGCAAAATCCAGCGTGCAAACCCGCGATGAAATATGGAAAAATCCGCCGCTTTGTCGCCAGGGCAACAAGTGAAATACGCGAACGCGAGGAGCTGAAAGGGGTCTGACTGAAGTTAGCCCGAAGTCACAATAGATTGCAATGAAAAATAGCGTGATCGTAAAGGACGGTAAGGATAATCGCGCGAGGATAGAAGAGAGCGGGAATAAGAAAGAAAATTCGGGCGAGCTACGTTCAATTTCACGCTCCTCCTGAAACTTGACGGAGCGTGAAGAAATTCGCAATGGATTACTCGACTTGATTCTCCGGGAATTCAACACAATGCCAGACTAAAACGTTCCTCGAAGGCTTCGCGGGGTGTTCTATGTAAAATCGAGAGCAACGAACGAGCTAGTTCAGCCTGATCCCTTTGTAGCGTCCAAACAAGATGTTTCGGCGACTCGAGCAAAGGGGAATGGAAACCTGCTTCTCTAAATGTAAATCGAAGCACCGGTTCTTCCTCTGGTTATTAGCACGACGAAGGTCTTGGAAGTCGCTGGTGACCAGCACTCAATTAGCTAATGGCGCCGTAGCGGCCATCGGTGGCAGGCGATTCCGAGATTAGTAATTTAATTATTAAAACATTTAATCGAAACAAATGCGAAATTAATTTCCGATGTCGTTATTTTTGTCGTGACGACCTAGAGATATTAATTACAGAGCGTAAAAAGCTTAAGAGGATAAAGAACACGAAGTGCGAGCGTAAAGTGGAACATTCATCCTGGCACCGTGAGCGACTAATCCAAAGCTGTTCCGACAGTCGACGTGTTAATACGAGCAGTGATTAAGTAACCGATGAACGAATCGCTGAACCATCCATCGAAAATTATCGAATAAAATCAAAAAATTCCGGATCGTTAACCTTCCAGTCGATCCCTGCATCCAATCGTTTCTGGCTCGTTTCAGATTTACGCGCCAACTTTTTCGCGGTATTTCCTATCCATTTCGACCACGTCGAGCGAACGTCGAAGCCAACACGCAGAGGAATATTCGAGAAACTTCCTTCATGGATGACCAGATAATCGCGTCAGTCGATTTCCTACTTTTCCTTTTTCCTTTTCCCCCCTTTTTTCGATGAAAGTGCACGAGCGTGGCGGCTCCAATCGCACAGGGATGGTTTTTCGAAAACTCTTTGTCGAAGGATCATCACCGTGAGAATCCGCGCACTGTCCATCACGGTTTCCGAGTTCGGTGTCGGAGACAAATTTAAATTTCTAGATCTCGGGCAACGCAGATTCTTTTTTAACTGTCTTTTCAAATTGTCCTTCGAATACTCGTTTAGCCATTATTACCGAGCCAGGACGAAACGAGATAAGAAGGAAACCTCCGCGGTGTTCCACGCTCGTCTTTGATCTTCCCGAATAAAGGATAACGATGACGTAAACGGGATTGTCCCTGAAGAGTTCTCGACGAGAGGCGGGCTACTCTCGAGCGCGAGGAACACGAGTGGCCTCCGAGAGAGAATTGAATAAGCTCTGCCGGAGCTTTCCTCTAACCTGGCCATTTTGTGCGTGGAACACCAGGACCGAACAAAGAAACATCGGATTCGTTATTGTCGTTTCAATTTGTCAGCTGTGTTATCACATATTCTGCCAGCTGGTCTGTTCACGGGGGCGTCGGAGAATTAATTTTAAGACCGACGACTCGATCAGGGAGCCATTCGATATTTCGGACACATCGGGCGTGTGACACGCTTTGATTCTGTTCGGGATAGACGAAGGGGCTTGGTTGAAGAGCAAACACGGTCCTAATACGCGACATCGAATAGCCGTCCTGGGACGAACCCTAACTTCCGTTCGACACAAAAAGCACACCGATCTCGGATGGATATGAGACACCCCTGAAATAGCCCCGGTGTGTTATGACTGAAATTTATTTCACTGCGCGGATTTCCCGTGTACAAATGGACGACACACTTGGACGATGTATCACACTCGCGGGTTTTGTGTCGCGTGGAAAAATCCGGGGCAGGAACGACGAGGAAAGTCGCGTCGTTAAAGGGTCGTTGGCTCGTGCTGCGAGCTTTTTAGCAGGTATCCTCGATGGTCAGAACGATATTGAGTTTATCAGGCTAAAGTAGATCCTTTCAACGAGATTATCGAGCCAGAGTTCGACGAAGGGTTTTATTATCTCGTCGATGATTAGAACCTTATACCGGTTGCCTGGCGACTACCGACCGGTCGCGAGCCGTGAAACGATCGAGTTTGAGAAACGGAAATCTCGTCGAGTTCGCGATACCTCGAGTTTGCTCTCTGTCCGAACGCCATATCTTCTCCTCCACTTTTTCCACAACGATTTTGACACTTTTCTTTTAACGAAGAGATATTTGCCCTCCTTAGATTACCTCGGATTCAATCGTCTAATTCAAACAATCGATTCGTTCGTCGTCCAGGACACACGAAGTTCGTTTTCCCTCGGAAAAAGGGAACTAGGTGGGCCACGATTTCTCGAGGTATTTGCTTTCCACGACTCTGCTCGATAACCGGAAAACGAACCGATAGGTCAGGCTCGGATAAAGTGCGCGGAAATCGGTGAGCGAGGAAGATCGAGTGTCCGGTCGAAGACTTGCCGTGAGTGTTCAGTGCCGAACGATCCGTGAGCCTTGTGCGTGGTCTTCTACTGCTTACTGGGCCTCTGTGGCCAGGAAGAGAGCAAGGATATGGCTGAGAACGAGAGACACGCGGAACCGGAAGTCACCGTGCTGCCATCGGATTCCGTGGAGCACCGGGTTTCCCTTTATCCCATTAAGGTACGGAAATTGCTGAATGAATAAAAAAATTTAGAAAATCCACTGCATCTCGTGACACCTTATTGGCTTTCGAACTATCTGCCCCCTTTAGAAAATCAGAACTACGCTATAAAAGATATTCCATCGTCCACGCAATAAATCAAACAAGTATTCCCATTTCTCTATCGTCACTTTAGACAATTTTTATCCACTTATGCAAGCATTAGAATCCCAGAGTCAAGCCTGAAGATAGATCAGATTGACAAATACCACGATCGAGAATTTAATTCGTACTTTGTATCGCGAAGAAATCGCGATCGTTCGAGATCAGAAATCATCACAATCAAAAAGACATAGTAATTCCGTGACTCGTCGTCCACGTGTTTGTCGACTAAAATCGGTGACGACCGTTCTGTCGCAGATGGAGAGCAAGAGATCGGTAGTGGAGACGATCTCGGAGGCGCGGGAAACGAGCAAGAAGGAGACGCACACGCCAGAAAATCGAGCCAAGAGGTTGCAGCAGACGCAATCGTTGCCGCAAATGCAGCCAGCTGACACGCAAACGAACAGGTGAGCACGCGATCCTCTCCGTGACGTTTGCCGGGGCTAATATCATCGACGACGGCTGAGACCGGAAGTGCCCCGTGGCATCCCTGACGATTTACGATCACGGCCGCGCCCGTTCCAAGCCGCGTGTCAGCCTCGTGCTTTCGGAGCTTACATCGGCGATCGTGGAATCGCGGGAAGACACGGACAGTGTATTAACGACGAAGAAAAAGCCCGGGGCGTGATCAGGCTAATAGTGGACACCGGCACGCCGCGATCGAATTTTCCGTGCACGACATCCGCTTTCAGCGAGATTGGACGCTGTTTCTTATTATCCTCGTTCGCCAGGACCATTACGGACCGTGGGCCACCTGTTTTCCGTCACGATCAACGCGCGTAAAATTGTGTCGAGCGTTTTAGATAGCCGAACAAAATGTCCTTCGACATTTTGAACTGTCTACGTTTATTATTATTATTATTATTATTCGATATAAACGGGCATGGTCCATTAGTGCACAAAGTATGTACATACAGTTGGGACTCATAAAATAGGTTTTACAGTTGAGGTGATCTAAAAGAATTAATCGGATTAAGTAATTAAAGAAATTACGAAAAATTTGTCCTCGTAGCAGCATTTTCATAGTCATTTTAACCCTTTGCACTCGACGATTTTTTGGCTAAAGAAGAGTGGAAATTCAAAGATTCTCTACCAAAACACTGACGATACTTTTTTCAGCAGTAAATAAAGAATTGTATAATAATAGAATCGTAGAATTATTTCATTTCGATACCTCGCACACTGTTACATTACATTAAATTTGATATGTTAATTAATATCGATCTTCCAAATTTTATGAAATGGTAACTGAAGATCACCATTTAATCAGATTCTAAAAATCGAGGTTAGTTAATATATCAAATTTAAAATTACCTAACGATGTATGGAATATCGAAGAAAAATAATTCTATGTCTTAATTTGCATATGATTTCTCATTTACCATTTTAAAAATATCGTCGACTCTATGATAGAAAGTCTTCGAATTACTATTTTTCTGTAACGAAAAAGTCGTCGAGTGCAAAAGGTTAATAAGTACCTGGTAAAACGAAGGGATCATGCACTTCGCTAATGCAAGGGGTACACCTTCGCTAATGTGATCAGTAGTATACGCAACTTCGGGTGAAACAGGACTTTGCACGTCCCAAATTCGACTGATTTTTCACGTAACAATGATGGGATGTTTTATAGATTCGTCAAAGGATCTAAATAGAATTCTATTTCACACACACATCGCGGTCTATATTGTGAGACAGGTCCAGATAAGCGTAGGCTTATTAACCTACCAAAAACTCAGGCCACTGCATCGTTCTTCACTCTTCTGAATATTAATTAATTCAAAGATCCACGAATGCATCTTTAAGGGTTGAATTCGAGCTTTCGTATCATTTGCGACGCATCAGGATGTCGTGGCTCGATGAAACTGTCTAATAGGCTCCGCTGCACGCTAATGCTGACTCACGTGCATGACAGAGGACTGGTGACATCGTTTATCAATTGTCCGTGAAATTCTGATTATACCACTGACTCAACCCTGACCTTAAAACCTCGAATACTATCCAAACGTTCGCACAGAGTAGGTAGAATCCGAAGTGTTAGAAACCAGTTGTGTTCGTAGTCGACTAGAAACTAAGACGATGGAATCGTGGGTTTAGGTTATCGGCTTTCAAGAACGGAATAAATATCGCGTGGCAGGGTTCTGAAATACACCCCGAAAACGCAAAGCAACGACAAAGAATCGCGTGATGAAAGCGATGCGAACGAACAGTCCGTTAAAGATTTACGATCACGATCACGAGCTAACCGTGCGATCCTGTAATCTAGGAGCAAGGAACCGCGAGACCACAAATCACAGGAATTCGTTACCCAGAGAACGGCTACTATTCGACAAAGACGCGATCACGAAATCGTCGGATCAACGAGTCGGCGTTGTTTCCTATCTAAAATCGAACGTGTAAGCATCGAGGAGGCGAGGAGACCTCGCAGCCAGGGCGCAAATTCGATAACGTCCGGCTCGTGATTCTATTAACCGACAGTTTCCACGTTAAGTCGACCTCTCGCCTCGTTTCCGGTCCGAGAGAGAGCCCGAATGGGTCTCGTTGTCACGAGGTGGTGAGAGTAGGAAATAAATCCAGCTATTTTTCTTCTTTGCATGTCACGTTCTGCCAGAAGAAACGGCAGGTCGATGTGTGAGGATCGAAAGGGGGGTAAAATTCGCAGACTGGTCGGCGAATTCGGACCAGGGGAAACTGTTCCACGAGAACAATTTATCCTGGATCGAGCGTGGCTCCTTGTCAGCCCATTCGACGTGCCAGCCGTCCAGGGGACGTATGAGACGTTCGTATGAGAGGAAAATTGACAGAGGGGCGAACCACGTCCGTTTAGGAGGTTCTCTGTTAAAAGAACACCAATCCACCGACACGGTGGCTTTCGTCGAGGTTTCGGGGACTGGCAGATTACACAGAGCGGAAACCTATTGCACTGATGGGATACATCCGATAGCTAGGCTCGAAAGATCCTTCGCCGTGATGACCCATAAAATGGCGAGTCGAAAGCAGACGAATCGAATGATCGATACGACGCTCGTGGTGTTTGCGGACTGGTCGAGTCCGACTGTTTGAATCGCCAGGCTAAAATTATTTGCATTCGAAGACAAGACCTGGCATGGCTTGTTTTCCGAGACAATGTCGGATAAAGCAAGATCGCGGGACAGAGGCATCGCTGCTGGATATCGAGGAAGATTTTCAATATGGATGAGGGAAAGTCACTGGAAAGCTTGTTTGACGCCTATGGGTTCCATTGCGGAGATAAATCTGCCGTTTGTAGGAAGGCACGAGACGCGAGGACGTCTAATTAGACGAGCTAATTGAGTTGCGGTTCGTACGTGTGCGTGAATCTGTGGCAGCGTAGGCGGTGTCGAATGCCATGGATCGAAGGCAACGTCAAAGATACGATTGACGCGATGTCGCGATCCAGATACAATGGAACATTGTTACGAAAGGCTCGATTATTTAACCGTGGTGGCGGAGAGTCGCGATGCATTGAAAACGGACCGCGAGATATGTCGCTGAGATGATACAGCTCGTGGTTTGACTCGGTGTAATTGAAGAGCAACCGAGCTCCGCGTAACACGCTGGCATAAGGTAGAGTTTTCAGCGAAACAAACACAGCCGGGGAACCGAATTCCGTGCTCGATTTAGCGACGGGAATAACCGTAACGGAGGAAAATTTATGCCGTTGTTCGGCGAAAATCTAAAAGTCACCGGTACACCAGTCGGTGTTTGTTAACTAGGTTAATTAATTTGCCCGGCAATCCACGAAACCGGATCTGCGCAACACGTCGTGGGACGAACGGATGAACTTTCGACTCGACGAGCAACACGAGCAAGGTGGCAAAACATAACGCTGACACGAATTTTTAGTATTTCATTAACCACCCGATGTCAACTTTAATCGCAGCGACTCAACTCCGCGGATCTAGTTTCGAATTTGCCAAATCGACGACCAATGGCGCTGTAAAGCGTACAGGCAGCGTTCCAGAGACGAGAAAATGAAGAGCACAGCATCGACGTAGTCCCGGTCAGTGTTAATTATTAACATAACGTATAATAAGCGTACCAAGGTAACTTGTTTCGCTACTTATGTCAGCTTATGCCGTCAGGAATGATAAAGTAGTGATTTCAGGGGTATCAAAGGCAGAGCCTGGTGCAAGAAATGGAGTACGCCTTTTGTCCTTGTGCCATCCTGCTAGCCTTCTTTTCATCTCTGCGCGGTATATAAGTATAATACTTCGATATTACTTATGGCTCCATCAAAGGAAAGCAGAGCTTATATGAACAAAGAACACGTGTCACCAAATACTTCTGCGAATACACGAGGATGAAACGTTATATCGAGATCATCGATAGCACTAGGAATCCTGAAACTCGAAGAGAAAAACATTTAAATGTCACGCGTCGTTTCTCGATCTGTCATCTTTCGCCAAGGTCATCGAATTGCCAATCTCGTCAATAGTTACCAGGTTACCGGACTACCAGGATGACCTTGTAGGGAGTTCCTCACAGGGGTTGAAGTCAGCTGATTGCAGGTATGGGGTGGTGCTAGAAGGATCCTAGGCCCGCTAATGGACTCGTCACTAAGGCTAGCGGCCCTGCCTTAGAGGGGGATACTATTGATAGGTCTGGAAGCTATATATACAGGAAATGGAGGTTTTCCTCTAACCTCCTTGAAGTTGGAATTCATTTAGCAACGAGAGTGAAAACGATGGTCGTTGCAACCTTGACACTGCAAATTTCGTCACATTTACCCCCAAATCCCGAATTTCATCCGATCGTCACGCCTATCTGCGATCCACAAGTGTTGGCACAATTCTCCCAATTATTTCGAACAAATATTTATACGTATACCCAATTCGCAGTCGTAACAACGCAAACGATAATTTTCGATTAATGTCTCCTGCGTCCAAGGAACATTTGCATCCAACTGACCGAACTTCTTCGAACTGCAACGCCGTAGATTAACAATTATAGCGAACGGAATTAATCGGTGGAACTACTCGCGCGATTTGTCGAAAGGCAAAAAGTCGCCAGCGAATTACACCCGAGACAATCGCGACTGTTCATTAATTAGAACTTTACAATAATTGCATTACACGCGTTTCATTTCGCGCATAAACCTATACACAAGCCATTACGCTGGGCGCGTATTAACAGAAGCAGAGCGAAACGCAAATAACGGCCGGGTGTATTGCTTCGATGACGATTAAGTGTAAACCAGCCAGAGACACGGTAATCCGAACGTATCTGTACCCATTCGGTAACATCGTAACGTATGTTTATATACGCCACTGTCACGGGACAAAGGGTCTCCGACTCCAATTGCAAATATACTCGCGAATTCGTGCGTCTGGGCGACTACGAGGCACCGCTGGATCGCGAAGGATTAAAAAGCGGTAATCTAGATCTCAAACGAAACGAATCGACGGCATAATACGAACTCGATGTCTGTCACAGACAGGTATCGCGGAATGGGATTTATTATAAAAGTGCATCGAGGGATCTCGATCCGTCGACGACAACGAGACTAAATGGAGAACGGAAAGTTCTCGAGGATCTCGTGGATTGCGCGATAAAACCGATCGATAATGGCACGATGTAACGAGGGGATGTCGAAAAAGTCCTCGAGGTTCAGCGTTTTACGCGCTGCGGGGGACGGAATTTGCGTGGTAGCGGATAAAACAGGGAGAGTCCGTTGAGGAGTAAGATTTTATTCCACTCTTTCAATCCGACATAAGACTTTAATGCTAGTTGATAAAAAGTTCTCGGTGAGATAAGAAGAAAAGGTCAAGCCGTGATCGTGAAAGCGTAAAAACTCGCGGGAGGATGGTACAGTCGGAAGAATTTATTCCTTTTAATCTTCAGCCACGGCTTCATTCGATGCTCCAACTCCCTTGGTCGTTGACGCAAGAAGCAAGTGACCCCAAGAACAATACTGATTAACCAAAACTCGATCAACGAGAATAAACCAAGCTATAATCCCATGTCATGGCTGCACCACGATGATCAAAAGCTCCTGTCTCAGAGACAGCTGGGACTCCTACGTTCCGCGAGCTGGAGTTGGAAAACTGCAAAATGAATGCCCTGTCTGTGCACCCTGTTTCTTCTTCTACTTCCAGCATTTTTACACGTACAATCTCTAGTCTGTTCGGACAAGAATATTTACGACTCTGCGTGTGCTTAAGAGATATACACCGAAAGTGTATCCTAAAAATGTCTGCGCGAGACTCCTTCGCAATGGAAACACGCCATATTTTATACCCTCAACGGATATGCAGTTTAAAGGAGACATTATCCTACCTTGAATTTCCCACGCCAGACGTCGTTTGTGACGTTCTGTCCCATCTGTTAGTCAGACGCGGCTAGCCACTGCCAAACAACGTCTCGAGGCTTCCAGACGTTCGACCGTGAACTTCCTAAGGATGACGAGGCTTGCAGGGAAACACCTAATTCCAGGTTAATCGAAGGATAATCTTTGGATTCGAAGGGTTAGTCTTCGTGTGACGCGAGCGAAGCAAAGGCGAAGAAGCGTAAATGAACGACAAATTGGAAATGGAGATCTTGCACAGGGATGAATTTTACGCAACAAGTTGCGCGCGCACGCGGTCGTACCTGACATGCTTAGATCCGAAGCGATGCATTGTGACACCGGCAAAACGCTGTCATCCTGCTCGATCGAATCGTAAACACGGATGGAGTGGAAACACAATATTTTCGGCCACGTGTACCACGTGCTCGCGCGCGCAGGGTGCGTCAGAGGGTGGCGCGTAGACGTGGAGTGACATTTGCGTGATCGAAAGTTTCGAAACGAGTTGAAAAAGCGAAGAAAGGAAGGGGAAAAATAGGTTCGTAGGTGGATTTTCCGCGCGCGTGCAGCGGTATTCCTACATACGCGGCACAAATTCCGCGCGTACGTTCTGCGTCACGAAGACCTTCGGGCGCTTTGTGAAGCGAGGAGTGGCTGGAAAATTTCGCGTGCAGTCGAGTGGCTGTCGGAACAACGAGTGCAACGAGACACCGGCGTTTGGCTGGGAAATTCGGCCCGAAATGAGGCAGGCAATTGCATGCGCGCAAATCGCGTGGAACGCGATACAGAAAACTGATTCACCCTTGACCTCGTGCCGTAATTCGCGAAACAGTGAGCAACGTCGAAGACTATAAGCGGATCTCCCGGGTTTCCTCTTTGCCCTACGATCGGTTCTTGCTTTCCCGATAGCTACGGAACATCTTCCTCGCGAGTAGCGCTACTGACTCGTTTACTCCCGCCATAAATCCCACAGGATAGTGGCCGATTCCTTGCTCGTTCCCGTCGAACGACGCGCGATAAACGCTAGAACGATGTACGACTGAGTCCCGAAAGGAGCTGGTCCGAGTGAAAAACGTCGCTAGAAAAGGGTTTGAACGGTCCCGAGGAATTTTACAGTGGTCGTAAAAACGTTAGCTGGACCTCTACGCGGCTAATTGGCAACGTGGAAAAGGCCGACCAGCCAGAAGCCCCGTTGTCATAACGAAGAACCCCGTGGAATGTCAGGGACGGGCCGTAATTTCACGGCCGACGCGGTTGGTCACAGAGCGCCATGACTTGGGAGCAATCCAAAACGTTGCGATTCTATTCTTGGCTCGTTACATAGTTAATGCCCTGGCTTCTCGAAGAAGTCTTAATCACTAGACAGGGAAGGAAACTCGCGCGTTTAAACGGGATGAAAGACCTCGGAGCAACGGCAGGATAGGGGATGTTAAAAGTTGGCGCGAGCCTAGTGGGTACGATGCGATTCCTGGACCTCGTTTACGTTTCCATGGCCACTGAGTGCTCACGAAATCCTTCTGTGGCCTGGCCAGGTATGTATGAGATTCCACTAGACCCTGGATTCGAACGTGGATCTTCCGAGTGGATCGAATAACCCACGAATTCCTTCATCCCTCGACCGCTCAGCCTCAACCTTCAGAGGCGAAACTTTTCGCCGAGGAAATTTACGAGCTTGAAACTAAATCGCGTAATCCACGGTGAGCCGAATCTTCAGTCTATTCCACGTCGAAATTTGTTTCTTTTCGGGAAAGAGAGAAAAAGCTGTCTGGCTGAAACACATGTACGCGGTAGCAGGCTGCTGGCAGTATCTCGTTCACGTCAATCCGTCTGGGTTTTACAGGCAACCCGCGTGAAATCAGTTCTAGCGTTCTGTCGGGGAGAAAAAATGCGAAAATTCCTCGAAGACCTTTTTCTCCCTGGCGTTGTATAGAACAAGGTCTGCATTTCTCCTTTCTTCTTTGAAATTCGTCGCGAACGTTTCGCGTAATCCCCAGCTCCGTGGTGAGTAGGCAATAATCGTGGCGAGGACGTCGGTCGCCAGAAAGTGAGGAAAATTCGAGAGAAATGCTCGTTCGCGTGATACCGATAACTGAATATTATTTAAAGATAGCCTCGACTCGTTTATACCCTCGTCTCTGTGTTTCCCTTAAGGTTCACCCACGGTACCTTTGTTTAAAAGGTTTTCACCGTGGAGCTACCCCTCCGGGTTCTGTCACGGTACCCACACACGCGCGCGCGCGTTTGCGAGATAGAAAAAGACGCGGTGGAAGAAGCCGCGAGCGAGGTTAATGCATAAATTATTTCAAAAGACACTACCGCCGGCGAATTAGGAATCGAGCGGTCGGCAAAGCGCCAGGCGAGTGATTTTAAACCCCTTCGGCTTAACCACGTTTACACGTGGGACGAGGAGAAAGTCGGTTAGCCGCGGGAAAATACTGTTGCGCGGCGGAAATTATACCCCTGGTTTTCCAACTGAAAACTCGGCGAATCTCTGTCGCGGCTAAACGAACGAATAGCTGTGTCACGCGTAAATAAGCGATTCGCGAAGATGACTGTTGGTCGAATGATGGAATCGTGTGTTTCAGAAAAGTGGAGAACCCCAGCGACAACCTCTCGGACACCATCAGTAGTCAGAGGTGAGTAGAAAATGGTAAATTTATCCCTGTTCGAGGGGTAGGTCTCTATTTTCTGCGACGAAGTTCGAGGAAAGTTTGCAAGGAGGGTGTTCGTTGTTACACAACAACGAATCTTCCGACGATGTACGTGTACGTGAATAAACGCGAGCGTGAAACGAGCGGAGAAATCCTCGTGACGAGATGACTCGTTCCGTCGTGGAACATGGTCTGGGAACAACAGACGGCCCTGGCGCTTCCCTTAGAAAAGTAAATTAAGATACCTTTTCTCGGAGAATCATTCTTTTTTCGTCGCGACTATGTAACTATGTAATTGCATTGCGGAGAACATAGATGGGTACATAGAAACGGCGAGATAATTTATGGAGAAGAGGAAAGACGCGCTTGCAGGCGGCGCTGGAAATACGGGTGAAGCTCGAAGCGAGGCTAGAAAAGATTTATCGTCGAACAAAATTCGAAGTTTCACGAGTATTTAAGGAATTCCGAGTTCCCGGGCGTCTCTGCTACTTAAAATTTTAATGCAGCTCGCGAAAGAAGAAGAACAATGTTCGCAACTTTGCTATCTCGGCAGTGCCTTTGACGATGAATTCCATCAGAGTTTTAAGTTTAACGGTGGCAGGGTTTAACATCTTAATAAATAACGGCTGCCTAATTGCGACGAGACTTTTTCGGCGTAGAATGATAAGGATTAATAAGCCAGGTCCAATTAGAAACGGCGCCGACGTTCGTTCGGTGATTAGGGCAGAACGGTTTGAATATTAGAGGGAGCGAGCAGCCATCGAACGTGTCCGGGACTGTGTGAAAACTAATTAACAACGAACACGGTTTTTTGCGTTTAATTAAAAGGACACAAAAAAATCGAGGGTTGCTCGCGACAAACCAGCCAGCAGCCTTCCAACTTGCCCGTCAGTTTAATTAAACCCTGTCTGAAAACTTTCGAATATACCGAGTATCTCGAAACGGCAGCTGATAACTATATTACCAACTGCATCGACGAAATACTGTCACTAACTTTCCTAAACTTTCTTATACGTGAGATATGACGCAATTTTTTCACCGAATCTCCTTTTCCCAGCCGCGGAAAATCCGCCTCCATTTTATTCCACCATTCTCACGTACGAGTGCCATTTTTGGCTTCTGCAATTCCAACTCTCTGCCAGGATTATGTACGACCCTACGTTCCTGGTATACGGGTGTAGCGAGGATATACAATTCTAGCTGTCTAAGACGACATTCGATCGAAAGGGTACCATTTCCATGCAAAGTCTAGATAGCACAGCTATCCGAAGGACCAACCCAATCACCGATGGCCACACGGTGGTGGTGCGGTAACTCTCGACGCTGCGGCATTCGATTGAACCGTTGAATAAATATCCGGTGACGCGTCAAACCTCAATGTCGAGATTGTTCGAACTGAAAGCAGGGATCGATAAGATCATCAGCAGTGTCCTCCTAATCAACCCGGATTGCCTTGGGCCAACTGCAGAGATCCTTAATCGAGCATTTAACGTCAGCGTCCAGGGCAGAGGCTGAAGAAAATTCCTGGTCCACGGGATCCGATAAAATCCCTTTAAAACGATATCACCTGTCGTTTCTCTCAATCTTGCGCGTAACGCGATATTCGTGTTCCAGATCTCGTAACGAGGGCCCGGCTGTTGCTTGCATAATTATCGCGACAGGCTGATGACGACTGTTTACCAAACATCGGGTAAAACTCGTGTAAACCGTGAGGTAGACGTGGCGTTGATACGTGATGTATTCTACATGGAGTATCGCGTTTGAAAATGTCGTCTCGAGGAGAATCGAATTCGAAGCTCGCACGAGGCCTTGGAAAAATATTTGCACCTTTGATCGAAAGGGACGAGCGTCGTCGCGCGGGTTAATCGATTCGCAGCGAGCGATCGATGGATCGCCTGGTGACGGTAATGCGCGCGATGCACGGACGTGTCTGTATCCGCTCGAGCACGAAATCCCAATGGAATTATTAACCGGTGTAACCGTTGACGCGAATGAAAATTGCGAGCAAACAATGACGAACAAAAACGAACGATGATCGCTGGAATGGTAGGCGTGCATCGCGCCTCCAGCGACGCACCGACATAATGAACCGTGTCTCTTCTTCTCCGTTTGTTTCCGCGTGGAGACTAAACGGGCCGCGAAATTCCACGAGAAAACAGAGCACGTAATTACGCGCTTAATGATGACTTTACAACGTGCAAACGCGGTACCATGGCTTGCCAGGCAAAGGGGAATTTCGAGTTTCCCCTTTGCTCTGCAATCCTCCGGACGAGCGACAAACAAGCACTGCTTCTGTCCCACAGGGTGTATAAGAAGTCGTCGCCGAACAACAAGCTGACTCTCTATTTGGCTAGCAGAGATCTGATCGTGAGCGAGGCGAAGATCGACAAACTACAGGGGGTGCTACTCCTCGACCCCGAGTTTTTGCAAGACAAGAGGGTGAGTGATACCCAGACAACGATCGACGTATGTTCTACAGAGAGCTCGGAAAAAGTTGGTCGGAATGACCCAGCAGTGTCTCTCGTTCGTTTTTCCCTCTGTGACACGTCTCTCGCGCGTTACACGCGGTAGACGTCTATCCTATTAAGGGAATTCGCGTGTACCCGTCTTTACATGCACACGCATGCAATTAGGCCAACCTATTGATCGATCGACAGTCACAGCAACAGTCGGTTGCCGACTGACTTCTTCCGAGCTGCCTGCAGTACCCATATATACATATATACATACATACCCAACCCATCGAACTAGTCAGAAATCAAATCGTTCCTTTAACCGTTTGAGTGCCACGGGTCATTATTGTTTCCCAATCGATATTTGCCAAGCGGCGCGATAGCGCTTGTCATATTCCGTGTCCAAAAATGCCGAGCGGCGCGATAGCGCTTCTCATATTCCGCGTTCACCAACCGAGCGCGCTGATTGTCAGCTTCGCAGCTCAGAGCGCTGGCACTTTTGGACACAAAATACAAGAAGCGCGATCGCGCCGCTTGGCACTCAAACGGTTAAGTACCAAAGAAAACGTTTCGATTTCGAGACACGGGTGTAAAAGAACGTATGCAAATGCAACTACTGCGATACTTTGAGGTGCATTTCCGGTGCACCAAAAAGGTGGGACACTTTTAATCCCAGCGTGCCCCAAAGAGTTAAATACCAAAGAACGTTTCGTTTTCGGAATGTAGAAGAATATCACGTAGGGAATGGTTTGCGTCATCGAGGGAGAAAGTAACGCGCTGATTTAATTCGTCGAAATAAGTTCGAAGCCCAATTTCCCGAAGATCCCATCACCCCGCTAACCTTAATTTCATCGACAGCCTCGTCGCGACATCTTTTCGTCGAAGCTAATTAAAGATACTTCTAAAGCAATCCCGAAGTAATCTATGGGTTCGAAGAGGCTCGGGACTGACAGGGGGTGAACTTTTCGCGATCCCTCTGACGTCCCCCGTGAAGCCGATAGGTGTCGTTGCCGAGTAAATATCACTCGGCTCGGCGCGGAAAAAGTATTTGTCCGCGAGTTATCGGCGAACTGGTTAAGTTTGCGGTTCGATAAATTTCATTAGAGACCCGACCGGTTAATTGATAGGAAGATTAAACGAGTTTACCAGGTCGTGACGCGGAACGCAAAGCGAATAGAGAATACTCGTAGGAACGCGAACGAACACAATCGCGATTATTTGCGTCTCTATTTACCAATTAACTATCCGCCGGGTGTTTCAGGTGTACGGGCAAATTACGTTGACTTTTCGCTACGGAAGGGAGGACGAAGAGGTAATGGGACTGAAATTCTGTAACGAGGCGATTATGTATCTCGCGCAACTGTACCCGCCGCATTCCAGCGCTGATCAACAAGAGACGACGCCTCTGCAGGTCTGTACGAGAATAATTCAATCTTCCTTTCGAAGCTGCGGCAGAATTCACGCAGATCAACCTTACGTTTCTGCCTGCACCGTCGTCGTAAATTTAGAAGATCCGAACGATTTAACGAAGGTCCTGGCGGGTGAGGTTGTACGCAAGGGTGTTCATAAACTCGTGAAATTTCGTCCGCCCTGCAACGCGAAACGGGCCGGTGCTTACGATCAATGAAACTTTAATAGAGACCTCGATCATGCATGCGCCCCGCCGCCATAACTGCGGATGCTTCCACAACGTATCGTTAAATTCCGTATCGGAAAATTGAAAAAATAATATCCGCGTTCCATCGAACAGCTTCATTTCCCCGTCTATGACCGAAGTCTTCTCCGCGAGAACCGATTCGTGACTAGGGAAGACCTAACGTAAATTTCCGAATTTCTCGACAATTCCATTTCACCCCCAACTATGTCCCCGTGGGAATCGTGAACGAAGCGCGACGTTTCTTCGAGCATTCTATTTTATACACTCGTGTTTGCCCTTGTTTCCACGACAGATTAAACGGCGAGCAGAGAAAACGGACGGAGAGAAATAAAAGCGAGCTGCTTGGAATCGGTGAAACGGTAAATAATCAACGATGAAACGACGAGAAAGCGTAAGACTACGCGGCAGCTGCGTTTCTCAGTCGGTTAATTAAGCGGTACAGCAGCTGTATTATTCGAGGTAACGACGCGGCAGCGTAAGTTCGTAATCAATTAATGAAATAAGCCACTCGGTTTAGCAATCGATTTCGTGCCCCGGTAATTAGAAACTTGCGTACGCGGCGCCGATTGCCTAACTGCGTTAGCGGCCCACGTTCGCTTCCTCGAGCGCGCAACTCGTGCGAGAAAAGTTTGCCAACACGGCTGCTCGTCGTGTCCAAATTAACCCGACGAGTTCGGCAAACCGAAGGAGACAGGACTCCGTCTCTGTCCGTTGAATTTTCACCCGATGTCCCGTGAAAAGAAGACTCCGGTAGCTGCGAGTTAAATATTGAGCCTGGGACACGCGACAGCAGCGCAGTTCGCCCACTCTGCTATGCAAATTTCATACGGCCACTGGTAAAGCTTTAATCGCGTTTCCTGATACTTTCTCAGAGGATCGCGAGGGGGGATAAATTTTTCAACAGCTCCGCAAGGAACGGGACCGCGAATCCTGCGATCCCTTTCCACACGACAGATGTGCCCCGTAATCCAGGTCTGGCTAAGCTCAGCTACGATCCTGATACTCGGATTCGAGACCAAAAGCAAACATCGTGTCGAAATTTTAAGTGCAAGCTCAAACGGATCGCGGGGTGCTGAAGATGGAACCAAGTACAAACAGATCCCCGAGGAAACCACGAATCAATCGTCGCGATTATGATTCAGAGATTAGGCAGCTCCATCGAACGTGGATGAAAGTCGGCTGTCAAGTATTTTCGCAAGAGGTATACTAACGTAGGGATACTTTCGATTGGCGAATACAGGGAATAAGAGATGTTGGTTTAGTCCAATATATTATTTATTACTAGCTAAAGAGACTTGTGAGTAAAGTACAAACTAAAAGACTAGACTAATAACTGAACTATGATCACGCAACTGACACTCTCGCGTTGACTCTTCTTCAAACTCCGTAAAGGACTGTCTTAGGACAACCCTTGTACCCTAATTTACCTTTCACCCTCTTTCTCAATCATACGTTTCTCATAACCTCACTCTCGGTGGGTCACGTGCCCTAAACACTGAAACGCCTTTTGCTCTTTACTTCCACTCGATACAGTCATAAATATCCCGTTCACCCGATCCTTGCACTCTAGACGTCACTCTAAATATTCGACCTAAACTCTAGGCTGCTCTAATTGCCCGTCATCAGCTAGATAGACCCAAGTGTTCCTTTGCATTTGCTCTCAAACCCCAGCATTCCTACGCTAATATCGAAATCGTGAATCGGTATGTTTCCTTACTCGGAATTAGCTCGTGAATTAAGAGACATCGTTAACTGATAAAGAGGAATATAATCGAAGGATGAATTGGATGAAAAATCTACTTGCGCGAAAGGTTTTCGATTACGCGGGGCAAAGGGGAGGAATATTGGTTTAAAATCAGGCAGATGTAGATAGCAATTGGAAAAGCTGATATAGCCATCGGTCAGCGGAGGATTAACAGTCCACGTATCAATTTCGTTTCCGCGCGGAACCAATAACGCGCTCTGCTCGTTAGAACGGTCAGCTAACCGTGGAAGGTTTAAACGAACAAGGCGTTAAGGGATCTGATAGATCGTTGATCCGCTCGGAAATGAACCGTTAAGCTTATGGAGTACGGGATGCACGTTATATAGGTCGTAAGCCTTGTAACTGATACGCGCGACGTCACCGAACAACGTGCATCGAACCGTTCTGAAACAACCCTCCTCTGCTTACCTCTCGCCGAAGAAGCTCTGCTCGCTGCCTTTAAAAGGTTACCCTGCTAGAACCTGTCTTTGAAATCTTCCTATTGAACCGAGAAAAAATTCACGTCGCAGCCGCGTGCATCGTGGATGAAAGTGCATAGCGTAAAGCATGAGAAAATCCTCGATTTTGATCGATATTTAATGTTAGACTCGTGAGAGATTCGCTGAAGTTTAGTAGGCTGGCAAAGAAAGGTGGATAGCGTTTTACACGCTGCACTAACCATCTCTCCTCTGAAGGACTTGATAGCCATCAGCGTCGATCCCATGGACATTCGGTGCCTAATTATAACTCCTACGCAGAGCTGAGAAAATGGCTAGTCGAAGGAACACTGGCGTAACAGGTGCATCCTCCCAGCGCAATTGTAAAAGCAGAACGCACGAACTTTCGTCGTTGACCTAGAACGTTACAGCTACAAACGAGATCCCAGGGGAACGTATACACCCTGTAAAATAAGAAGCATCGTGAAGTATTAACGTAAACGTAGGACCAGTATTAACTATTTAACGCAAGGGGTATCGGGCTAAGTTATTCCTCTGCCATGTCAGCATAGAGAGCTAAAGGTGAAGTCAGGCGTAGCTAACAGAGTACGGCTCTCAGCCCTGTGACGGCTCACTCGTCGAACTGGCACTTCGTGAAATTTCAAAGTACCATCGACTCTACCACCCCACTCTGCTACGCTATAACAAGTCGCCATCCCGTGTCTCTTTGGCCTTTTACACCGACCACTCGGCGTCTGCTAGAGGGACCTCGCCAAGGATCCTTGGCCTGTTCGCTCTTCCTGCACTTTGGTTTCCGATTCGACCACTGCTACTCGGATTATTCCATTCCGCCCTGCTATTCACGGCCTAACACGGTCATTCATGCCCTTTGCACCTAACGGCTGAAAGAGCAAGCATCTCGCGGCACGTGCGATATCCCGATCAGTTCTGCGCAGAAACATCCCGCGTATTGCATATTCTCCACTGTCTGCAATACACGATAAACAGTCTTCGGCATGTCCAACAGGGGCAAACATCGTATAGCTACATTGGCTGGTGGCTTCCTATAGATGTCCCTACAGCAGGCGCCGAGGAGGATGTCAGAGACCAAGCGAGCGAGGTCGCGTCGATAAATTCCGCTCCGTCAGGAAACTCCTCGCGAAACTTTTGCAACGGAGATATCCATTTCAATCGCGATAACGTGGCTTATCCGAAAAACACGCGTCTGCTTGTCCTCGAGTATGGCAGCAGCTGCAGGCGTCGAGAGGAACGAATGGGAAAGTTGCCTCACCGGTGTTCGGCGTTAATAAAATGGCGCGAAGGTGAAACGCAACCTCGACCCGGTTCCGCGATAATTGCGAGTTGGCAAACTTTATTACCGTATATTTTCTTATCTCAGAAAGCGTTTAGCCAAACTGCAGGGTGAGGCAGATTAGACGTCGTCCGATCGCGAAAGATCGTCTCTGCTGAGAGCATATTCATCCTAATTCCGTTTTAATTGGCGATCGCTTTAACGTATCGAGTTGGGAAAAAATCCATCGACGAGGGATAATCGTGGCGATTCAACCGTGTTGCCGCGAATCGTGAGCAATTAATACCGAAAGCTCGTGGGGCAGTAATTTCGCGAGTAAATCCAGCGCGGTGCAATAAGGTCGGCTATGGTAAGCGCAGGTAGGGTAAAGCTGCTGCAAAACGGAAACGCGCAGGGGTAATTGAAACGGATGAAAGTCGAAGTCCAGAGAGAGAGAGAGAGAGAGAGAGAGAGTACTCTCGACGTTCCTCCAGCTGAATTCCCAATGGAAGGGGAAAGAAACGCGGAAGAGGAACGTCTAGAAGATGGAGACTGCATCGCGAAGGTTCCGATCGAAGGATGCTGTGTTCGGGTGTCTGGCAAACGATTAACGTAAATAGAAAATCGGAGAGCACTCGGTCGAGAAGCAAACAACGCGCGAACCGTTGATCGTTTCTCGTCGGCGAGAGGAAAAGCGGAAAATACGAATGGACTCGAGAGGAGATGGAAACTTAATCTCGTCGTGGAAACGAATGAAATTCGATCGAGACGAAAAAAGGGAGGTCGAGAGTAATTCCATAACACGGAACGGTGCAATAAATCGTCCGCGGATGGTTCCTTTCTGTCCGCTTTGAGAATAAAACGTTGCGCAATGGGAGAAAGAAAGAGCCCGGACGAGAATTCCTCGTGGTTGGTGGCCGTTTTTTTATCTCGAATTCCTCGAGTTACTGCTTTCAGATCGCCGAGAAACGGTTACCGTTCCATCACCGCACGCCCGCCATTCCGCCAACTTAAGTAACCACGAGGGAAACACACGTAGAACGCGGAATCCACCTCTGGTCCTTTTAAATTATCCAGAGAGAAAGGATTGTCGTCGAAGTGGAGTTTCGATAATTGAAACGAACCGTGGTGGCATCGTTATTCCTCCGCGACGCACGATTACAAGATGGCGGACACGTCGGGGATAAAAATCGAAAGAATATTATCCGAATCGAGTCACGATGCATGTTTTACCAGCTACGAAGAGAATCGTAGGATCAGCTTCCAGGATTACGACACCCCG